CATGATCTAAATAAAAATAACCCAACCTGTGTCCTCAGCACTCTCCAGAAGCCCTCTGCAGCACCTCTGGGCTCCATCCAGGTCTGGGTGAAGGAGGAACAGAGAGCTGGATGAAGGGCCAGCCTCATCCCAGAGGGAGGAGAAGGGGCTGGTCTCTAAGCAGTGGAGAAGGGGCTGCAAGTGTTGTGGGGAGGGGGGTGGGGGGAGGGGGCGGCGTCAGGAAAGGACAGGAGCATTTCCAGGAGCAGGTGAGCCTAGGGCACAGGCCTTTGACAACCTGGGGAAGTCCAAACCTGTGCCTCCACCTCCTCCTTACACCCCCGGCCTCCTTGCCCGCGGTGTCCTCACCAAGTTGTGCACACGCCTTCCACGTTGCTACAGGTGCACCCTGTCATCACGCTGCCGCACTGTCACGGCGGTGTGTCACTCTGAAGGGAGCTGCTCCGTGTCCCTCTCATCCAGACAGCGCCTTCATCCAGGAGGCAAATCGCCTCTGATGGCAGCGGCTTCAGACGAGTGAGCTCTGGTTGCCAGGAGCAATGTCGCCCATTGACATTTTTCTGGCAGGGCCTCCGTGATTGTCAGCAGGGCTGCCTGGCTGGGCCCGTGGGCCCGCAGCGGAGGGCTCTCTGACATGTGCTCACTGGGTGGAGGCCCCTCTTCGGGGTGACGAGGGACGAGGAAGAGGAGGTGCCCTTCCTGCAGGACGCACCATCAGCTGTCCCCAGCCTCCCCTCTGCCCAAGCAGCGCGGGGCCGGCTCAGCCACAGGACCCGGAGGATTCAAAGGCCGGAGCTCCTGTGAGGAAGCGCTCTTGCTTGTGTCTTGCTCACACAGTGGCCGGAGCTGCTTGACGCAGAGGAGGAGGGAGGTATAGCCCAACAGCGCCCATCTCCCATCTCAGGGCACCACTGCGCATCTCGGCTGTGCCTTCAGCTGCAGGGCAGGAGGGTGCGAGTCGGAGGTAAATGCCATCAGGGCTCGCGGAGTGACGCTGTGACGCTTGGCTTCCCTGCACTTCAGTAAAAAGGAAAATGGTAGACTTTTCCTCAGGGCTCCTCCGACTCCTGGCCGGCACCACGCCCCTCCGCCCCTCCGCCCCTCTGCACAGGTCGGGCTCCGTTCACCTCCTAGACCTCCACACAAGCCCGCATCTCCTCTTCCCTCCCTTTCCACCTGCCCCTGGGGAGATCCCTGCTGCCTCCTCTACGGCGACACCCGTGCGTGGCCTGCCTTCTAGGTACAAATGTCCAGGCACGCCCCTTGTCTCAGACGCTCTGGGGGCACCCCGTGCTCCGTACACCTGGGACTCCTTCCCACTGGCCCCATGATGTCCCGGAAAGTTCTATTCCTCTGAGACTCTCCTCTCCAGGCTGCCGAGAGCCACATCCCCCACACCCCCCAAACCAGAAAGCTCTCCGTGAAGGCTCCTCAGAGACTCCTCGGGTCAGGCCTCCCGCCCAGGCCCGCGGCCCCTGGCTTTTGTGACTTGCCAGTTTCTCACCTGGTTTCCTTTCCCTTCTGGGCCTTCGCCCTCGGCTGCCGCACCTGCTTTCTCTCCTCCCTCCGGGGGACACAGTCCCTAGACACAAAGCTGAATGTGCGACCACCACATCGTGTAGTCCTTGGTGACTCCCCGGGGCCCAGAGGGTGAAGTTCAACGTGCCAAGTCTGACCACGGTCACCCAGCCGCCCGGCCTCCTTGAGGCTCCCCTTCGCTCTCAGTCACAACCACTCTGGACTTGACTCTTCCGTGAGTCTGGCTCCCTCACTGAGGCTTCCCAGGGCTCCCGGGAGCTGACGGCCTCCCACCCTCCACCCCTGCTGCCCACACACCTCCCGCCACTGCCCGTCCTGCTGCTGCAGGCGGAGGTGTGTGCGCACAGGCCCCGAAGCACGTGCGCGTTAGGACGCACACCCGCCCAGCCCGGAGGTTTCACGATGACCTAAGGGCAGGACGATTCGAAAAGGAAAAGAAGACAGAAAGACTGCAGACTGTTAGACTGCGCGCTGGGGTCTCCGAGCTCCGGGCTCACCGTTCAGCGGTGCCCTTTTGCGGGGCAAACCGCTAACAGCGGTGACTGACGGTGGCCCGGCCGCGGCTGGCAGGCGCCCCAGAGCAGGGCAGTCGGGCCCGAGCTCCAGTCCCGGCTGCTAAACTTGCATGGCTGTGCTCACTTCTCCTAACCTCCACTTCCTTACCTGAGAAATGGGAATAAAAACCTCCTACTTGCTGCCGCGAGTTGAGAGACAAATGGGAAAACATAGGCAGCTGTAAAAATATAGAAGGTTCCTCAAGGAAATGGAGCCGGGTTGAGAGGCAGGCCAGTCCCTCCCCCTGGCAGCCTTCACAATCCAGTCCCACAATGTGTCTAAAACATTAAGAATTTCGGAAATGCCTTTTCAATATGGTGAAGGAGACGAGGAGGACCCAGGAGAAGGTGAAAGCTGAGGTCCAAGCAGCAGAAGGCCGGCAGCAGCTCCAGCTGAAAAACAAACCCCCTGAGTGCTTCCCATGGAGACCCTGATGTTGGAAACCACCGTCGCAGGGTGGATGATAAATGCCTCTGGGGCTTCACAGCCCGGGGGGGTCGCGCTGGCTAGGACCACTTAAAAGCCCACTTAACCTAGAGAATAAAGCCTCTGTGATCGTGTGTGCTTCCCGGAACGGCCGACCGGCCAGGCCTCACTGCTCACTGGTGCAAATGGACACACGCGACCCAGGGACTCTCCCAGGAAGGAAACACGCAGGACGCAGTGAGTGGCACGTCAGCACGATGACCGCGTAAGTCCTGCGGCTGCTGCGGTCAGAACCCTGGTGGCGGGCAGAGAAGCCCTGGGACCTGGGCGACAAGATGCGACCCGCCACAGCTGCACCCACAATCCAGGACCCCCAGGCCAAGGCTGTCCCAAGCCGTCAGCTTGGTGACATGTGCTCAGAGGCCTGCGGTGCGGCCACTGTGTGACCCAAGGGAGCAGGTGCCTGGCTGACCTACAGAAAGGACCCTGGAAAGAGCAGGCATCCGGGAGAGGAGAGGCGCCCGGGCCGGGGTCCCTGCTCGCCCTGCGGCATCCTCGCTGCCCACGGTTTATTGAAGGTGCACCCTTACCTGTTTTTCCTAGGACTCCATTTAGATGAAGAATGTTGACTTGCTGCCAAAGTCCACAGGCACATTCTCAGCCAAGTTTAATAACAGGAAGGTCAACTTTGACCCTGATGACTTCATGAGAGTTTCTTATAAATGAGCTTCCAGGCTCCAGATAGGGCCTCCTTCCTGCTGTGAATGTTTATTAGCAACCTGCCAAGGAGGTAGAAGTCGTTTCTCCGAGAAAGAGGAGAGCAGCTCGGGATGTCTCCGCGCGAGTCCCCCGCGCCAGCCCAGAAGTGCCTCCGGGTGGCGGGGAAGGATGGCACCGAGCTGCACAGCTACAGACGCCCCTTCCTCCAGGAGCCACCAGGAGCGCCCGCCCGGCTCTGCCTCTCTGCTGCTGTGGGGGTCACGAAAGCGGAGAACACGACCGGGGATAAAGATAGCAGGCTCGGGAATAGAGTTCATTAAGCATTCGATTGTCTTTGCCCCAAATTATGTTCCTGGGAATTTCACTTAAAATCGTTTCGTACTGTATTTTAAAACAAAGCAAAACCAAACAACAAAACCGCAAACTCATCTCAGCCGAGGGCTCCTGGCAGTCGTCGGTGTTTTAAATCAGCATGGAATGGAGGGGGCTGAATGCTACATTGGTTTGTAGCAGGATATATTCATAAATCCGTCTTAAAATATGGATGCTTTGTTCCCTAATATGAATGAACCGGTTAAAAATTAAAAAAAAAAAATCAGAAACAAAAAATCACAAATAGCCTAAGACGTTTGTTGAATAGTCTGGCACCACCAGAGTATAAGTTACCTTCAATTCAGGGAAAATGTGCTCCAATCAGTACCTGACATTTGCATATTTTAGGGCCCCATTTTTTTCCCCTTAAACCCTGCAGCCATCTCAGTCTCTTCTCTCCTCTCCCTTTGCCTCCCACACATGCACACACTGAAATTTTGAAATTTGACTTTTAATACCTGCTCAAGGAGAAATTGCTTTTCATGTACAAACCATCACCCTTTACACCCGTACAGAATGTTGGGCTCACCTGACTGAAAGAAAGGATGCGAACGGCCACCCACGTGGCTTTGGGGGAGGACCCGGAGCCCCCTCCTCCTTGAGTGAACCATCTCTAAGTCCACACCCCCTGCTGGGCCCCCTCTCCTCCTCCACGATTTGCGGATGACTGGAAGAATGGCTCCATCCTTCCTCCTCTGGGAGGACTCACTTCGCCTGTCCTTTTCCATCTTTGTTCTTTTCTGGAGACTGCCATTCACCCTGCGCCCTCCCCAGCCTGGAGGGCAGATTCAAAGTCTTTCTCTTTGAGTCTGACCTAGCAAGAATGTATCTTAAAAATGTAACACACTTTCATGTTTCCTTGGGGCAGCAATCCATTGTTTGCCACATAGTCCCCACAAGCCAAGGAGGGCCAAGGTTCAAGTTCAAATCCATAGGCTTCTCCTAGCAATGAAATAGGGTGCCTGACAATTGGGCAAGTATTGTTTTCCTCTTGATTTGAGAGGATATTGACCCAGGGCTGGCGCTGGACGGAACAGGAGGCGTGGGGCGGAGTGCCTCACACACATCTTGTCCTTGAGGCTTCCTGCCATTTGACGTCTCTGCTCCCATCCTTTCATTTGAGAGACTAGAGTTGCCATACCCTTCGGACCTCCTCACTCATAATAAGGACAGAAATGTTCTCGCCTCCATCCACCGTCCTTATTCTTCACAGTATCCTTGGAAATGATTTGAAAACAAATGAAGAAATGTACTGACAATGATTTCTGATGAAACCAAGTATAGTCAACCACAAACACCAACTCCCTCTGAAGAGAGACCTAGCACTGGTGAGACGGGGCACTCTCACACCTAACCTTACTGGAGATCTTAGTTTTGGGCCCACTACTGGAGAAGACCCCAGATCCGCCAACCATGACCAGAACTTCCGCCATTGCGTTTGATGGCATCATAATTCCCTAGAGCAGAGAGACACCTTGGGTCATAGCCATTCCGGAAGCTTTGTTTATAGAGGTGCAGGCACCTCAGCCTGGAGAGTGGGCATGGCTCACCCAAGATCATGCAGCAGGTTAGTTGAAAAGGAAGGTGAGAGTACGAGGTCGGTCCAGCTCTGCAAGCATCGTGCAGACACAAAGCCATATTGCCATGTCGAGGCTGGACTTGGAGCTCCCTTGATGACTCCTTACAAGGACAGGTATGGGGCGTCCATGTATCTTCACCAGACAGAAGGCAGACGGAAGGTTATATCCTCCTCCTCCCTGATTGCGTTATCCTTACCGTCAACCTTCCGGGGACTCCCCCAACCTCCCCATGCCCTCCTGTCTTCTGCCTGGCTTTTAGAACTCTTTCAGTATTTGGTTTGGAATATCTCCTGTTCACCAACTGGGAATAAGTATGAGAATTCCAAGGGAGCGGTTTCCATGGCAACAACAATCTCATGGAAGGTTTCAGAACTTTTCCCTCCTACTCATGGTACTGCAGAAATTCAGAAAGCATAAGGCATAGAGACAAGTGCTAATTATCTGACCTGAATTTGCTGTGGAGTGGCGGCTAGAAGAAAGGCAAATGCACTGTGGTCTGGCAGACATTTCTCATCGGCACACATCCAAATGACTTCCTGGAAGTGAATCATGATCGTATTATTGTAATTTTTTTTTGTTAGAGGTGACACCAGGTATCAAAGAGAGGGTCGTTTGTCTTGTACTGTGAAAGGCTCAGCCTCACGCTTTTGAGGGCGCAGACTTGTTTTCCGGTACTGTCTTTCGGTCAACCTGGCAGAAATGATAATCACGTTGATTATGATGTCTCTCTACCCATGACACAGGTTCAGTGACAGAGGAGCCCACAGTCATCGGTATTTAAACACAGATCACTGTGGCCTCACATGTCTAAATGCTAAGTCCTGACTAGACAGATGGACTTTGGATCGTAAGGTGAAGGGCTTTCTCTGGTGATGAAACCAGGTGTGAGTGCACTTGGCTCCATGCTGGGAGCACTTGGACCATTGGGAGGCAAGGGCAAGTTCCTCTGCATCGTTCCCTGCGACAGACGCCATTCTGGGCATGGTTTTTCCATACAGTCCATCTGGTGACATCTCATTAGTTTGAGAGGGTGCACCTGTCAAGCCATTGTTGGGTAGCTCGGAGTTTATGGCAAAGCAGGGCCAGGGAGGTGACGTATCACCTTGCATTTGCTTCCCACCCTACTTCAATCCTCTCTTCCTTCACTCTTCCTGGCCGGAGATTTCACCTTCTGTAGGACACTGGCACACACTCAAGCTTTGCCTCAATGTTTTGTAGGAAATTGAAGTGAAGGCAAGACTTACACTGCCGGGAGCTGATGTAAGCAATGGGGTGGATAGGGCCACCAGAAAGGAAGGTCCATCCTCTCATAAGCTTGACATCTTACAGGGCTGACAGTGGACCTTCTTAAGTTAAAACAAACTGGGATTTATTCCATGTAATGCAAAGAGATGGCTGGCTTTAAACGGCTGAAGAGAGAGACCGTCAGGTTTCTAGTATTTTGACATCTGATTTCAGCAAGCAAAAGGGTGATGCAGAGAGGTGATGGATGCAGCTAAGGAAGCCACCTCAGTCTCCTGAATTGTGTTCTACAAGGGTAGAGCTGCTGCCTCAGTGTGGCCAGGGCAAGATCCCCAGGGTATCCCCCTGACCCCCAAATAGGCCTTAGAGGCAAAATTTTTGAGCTTACTCAGGAGATATTTGGAAAGCTAGGACAGAACACTCTATGCCCCTTCTCCAACTTCTCCAGCACACACACACACACACACACACACACACACACACACACACGTGTGCACACAGGCACGTGGCGTTAGATACTTATCCAGCATTATGGGGGCCCCACCAACCACCCACACTACTAGTTGTCTTCATCGCACAGTGCTTTGGAGACAGAGCCACCAGGGAGACCACATTCAGTGTTGGACTAAGCTTGAGGATCCAGTGTCACCTCTGCCCATTGTAAACAGAAGGACTTGGATCCCCAGGGCTTTGTCCTGTTGGCATAAGGAAGACATGCTCTCATTGTCTCCACTGCTGAAGCCAGCTTCTCATCCGTAAGTGTCACACCAGGGCATTCCAGAGCCTTCTCTTTTCTTCCAGTGCATCCCTCAACACCAGCCCCGGCAATTACGGACGTTTGTTTACAAGGATGCTTGGGACAGGGTGCAGACCCAGAACCTCCCGTAGTCCCCCCACTGCTGACAAAGCTAGGGTTCAGAGTGCAAGCCCGGGAACCTTTTCGGACCCTGCCCAGTTGTACCCTTTGGTGATGTTAACGGAGAGATCTGCTCCACCCAGGCGAGTGGAGACCAAGGCAGGAGAGCTCTCAGAAGCAATTCTTGCTTTCCCAATTAGCCCAACTTTGCAGACCCGACAAATCACGAGGTAGAAATGACTCTATTGTAAGGTCTTAACCTTTTAGGCTGACATTAAATTGGAAGAAACTGCTTGTGTTAGAAATAATTACTGCTGATAATGAATACAATTAAGCATAAAAGAATCTTTATAACTCCGGGATCATTTGTGCACTTAGAAATCGGCTCGTATTTTTCCCTTCACAGATGTTACAATAATGGTGTCAACACTTTTATTTCTTTGTCCATAAGCTGAAAATTATGGCTGCTTCATAAATCGGTAACGTGCTCAGAAGATGGGGGCCCAGCTGCAGAGCACATGAGTTCAGGCTCCTGCCTCAGCCTCATGTTTCACGATGACCTCAGCTTCCTGTGTCAGTGGGAACCCATGCGAGTAAGTACTTGTAAAACTGGTTTTGAAGAGTGAAGTTATGAAGAGGTGCTGCGGTGTCAAACATCTGCTTCATCCATTACCCTCAAATAGGAGCCGGAATGTACAGTAGGGGCAAGAAGCATCAATAAATTAAAATTCTCCTGTGAGCACACTTTCCATGCCTGTGCCAATTTGAACCAAGTCGACGGGGGTCGGGGGGAGAGCGAGAGCGAGAGCGAGAGAGAGAGAGAGAGAGAGAGAAAGGGAAAAAAAAGATGCCAAACAAAAGAAGAGAGATTTGGGGCAGTGTTAATTAGAATCTGGTTTTCCTCCTGCAGCTGGTGGGCTTTTCAACATACAAGCATTTTCATGCCTGCACGAGACAATGAATTTTCTGCTCCTTTCAGAACCCAAGTTCTTTCGCCCACCACCACCATATATTCTTCACCAGAATACTAGAAGGATAAAAGAAAATAAATAAGGTGTCATTCTAGTTAGGGGTGTAGATCTCAGATGACATAACTACTCAGATGGTTGTTTATTATACTTGGAATGCAATGCTGCTAACTGGTTAAGTTGGGTCGCCATATCGATAACGCACATTTTGTCAAAACTAATGAGTGTATTAATTATGAAACAAAAATACATAGAAACTCAATAGAGTTTTTAAGTGGGTTGTTTCAGGCTGATATTTGAACTGAGCGGTTTAGGGCAGAGACACCCTCCCAGCCTTTCTCACATGTGCAGCACCGCCGCCGAGACCCATCTGAAAGCCAGGCCGTCCTCGCTGCCAGAGGAGGGAGGCAGGAAGTTGGAAATGGAATGCTTGGTAATCCTTGCAGCAGCCCGCTCTGTTCAGTCATCTTCCCTCTCACGTCATATATCAGAGACAGTCCGGACTGTTCACAGCCTCACGTCAGTCCTGGTATCGGAGGCCAGGTCTCCAAATGCGCTGTGGTGGGGTGTGTGCTTGCCGATAGGAAACACATGCAAGGCTGTGTGTTCAGCCAGGGGCAGGCGTGGAGTGTGGGGCTTGCATTTGGGACATTCAGAATGTACCTTGCAGGGTCACCTGAAGCTCTCTCCTGGGATGACCGAGTTCCTGGCCAGTCCTTGCTGGGATGCCTAGAAGGAGCAGAGGGCACAACTATACCCCCTCCCTGGTAGCATTTGGCATGCTCATACCCTCAAGTGCCCATCACCCTCAAACCACAGTCTTTCAGAAAGTAAATAACAATGCCTCAGGCCAAAATCTCTGGATTCTGCCTCATTTATCCCCTAAATAAATGATAGTGGGAAAATGGTGTCTTCTCCACCCCAGTTTCTCTTACTGATCCAGGAGGACTGAATTCAATCTTTGCATCTCCTTTTAAAAATTCCGATATTAATCTGAGATGATGAATTAGAAGCTTATTCACATTATGCGAAATTATTCAAAACAGATGGTGAAGTCAATTTAAAGGCCATATACATATTTTTCTTCTATCCCTGAGAACAAGTACTGTTTGGGGGACAGCAAAGGAGTAGATTTTAATCTGCTTGCCCTTTGAAACGACCATCAGCAACCTCCTTCCAATTACCTGTGCCCTCTGACCATGGTTCTGGGATCTGGCTTCATGAGTGACAGGCTGTTGGTATCGCCACCAGACTAACCCATAGAGACTGTTAGCCCACGTGCCTTAACAATTTCTAATTGGCTTCTTGAGCAAAGGGAATGTCCAGTAAATATTTGGCCTCAAATTCATCATTCTTCACCACCATACTTAAGTGAGATTTGCTCTTTCAGACAAACTTGGGTTTGAATCTCAACTTTACCATTTAACAGTGGAGTGGCCCCGGGCAGGCGGTGCATAACACCCCCAAGCCTCATGATCTCCACCCTGAAAATCAGGCTTATTGTGCCCAGAAGACTGTGGGTAGGATTGAAGGTGTCAATGCACAGTTATTTTCATTGTTCTTGGAAGCTGGAGACACTTTCTAGCATTACCTGTTATTATTGTTGTTATTACAAGTATTTTAATTATGAGTTAATAAGACATTTCTTGCCAGTTTCCACCCTCCATCTTCCACCTACCTTGGTGTGATTATGGTTAAACCAATGTGCCTCAGATAGTTAAAGACAGATAAGAAGCTTAACCTGAGGGCTGTGTGGTGCTCTGATGTTGTCTAGGTTACTGTTGTGTATTATCATCAATCATTTCAAAGTGTGCAATGTATAGCTCATTCTCAGCATCCCATATAACCATTTAAGGTACACAAAGGCTAAAGTGGAGCCAAAATCTTCCAAAGTTATTATGGAACAGAAAGTGCTGGAGAAGCCAGGGACACATACAATGTGACTACGTGGTTCCTGATGTTTCCCCACCTGGAATCCTGTGCCTCACTCCTCTGACATTCATTGGAATTCCACACACACATCCAAAGAGTTAGATACACAAAACAGGAGCAATACCTTCAGCTCCAACAAGACTTTTAGCTCTTTAGAGGGCAGTATGAAGGCATACTTTCTAATAACATATTAGGGTTGAAATTTCCAACTGTAACTGTGACTTTTTTCATTTCTCCTTTCAGTTTTGTGAATTTTATGTATTTAAACTTAAAAAAAAATATGTTTATTTATTTATTTTGAGTTAGACAGAGGAGCATGAGTGGGTGCAGAGAGAAATAGGGAGACAGAGAATTACAAGCAGGCTCTGCTCTGCCAGTGCGGAGCCCAATGTGGGGCTTGAACCCATGAAAGCATGAAATCATGATCTGAGCAAAAACCAAGAGTAGATGCTCAATCAACTGAGCCACCTAGGTGCCTGAGTTTTTATGTATTAGTTTATATATTATTAACTGCATCCACATCTAATAAACTTGTGCCTTCTTGGTGAAGTCATTTCTTTATTATTATCTAATGCTTATCTTTGTTCCCAGTAACATTCTTTACCAAAATTTACCCAATATTAACAGAGCAATTTCAGCTTTATTTTATTTTTTATTAGTGTTTCTTGATATTTATTTTCCATTCTTTTACTTTTAACCCTTATGTCTCTTTATATTTCAAAATGGATATTTTATTGATAGCATAAAGTTAGGTCTTGCTTTTTATTTTGTACAATATGACAATCTCTGCCTTTTAATTGGGGTGTATAAACCATTTACATTTGATGTAAGTACTGATAAAGTTGGATAAGGTACTAATATGGATGGGTGCTATTAGTTTTATATTTATCCTGCCTATTTTTTGTTTTTTTTTTTAATCTTCATTTCCTGTCTTCCTTTGGATTGAGTATTTTTATAATTCAAATTAATCTCTACAATTGGTTTGTTAGTTATACTATTTTTATATTTTTTACAGGAAGCTCTAGAGTTTATGATATACACCTTTACCTTATCTCAGCCATCTTGAAATACTATTATATGACTTCAAGTAGGACATACTGACCTTACAACAATTAATTTTCATTTTTTCTCTCCCATCTTTTGTGCTAAGTTGTTATACGATTAATTCTACATATGCTATAAACCCATATTGTATTTTTACTGTGTTTGCCTTACACAGCCAAACATCCTTTAATTAAATTAAAAATCTTAAGAAAATATTTTATATTTACTAACATTTTTATAATTTTTTTGGAGGTCTGCATGTCTTTGTGTGGAAGTGAAGTTTTGTCTGGTATAATACTGCTTCTGTCTGAAAAACTTCTATTTATTTATTTGTTTGTTTATTTATTTATTTTTGTGGTGTGTTTCTGACAATAAATTTGCTCAGCTTTTGCTCCCTATGAAATAGGATTTGTTTTGCTTTCCTTTTAAAAGATATTTTTCTGGCTATAAAATTATTGCTTAATAATTATTTTTCCTTTCAAATAATTATTATTTGACTTTCAAAATGTCATTACTATTGCTGGTTTTCAAAATTTCTGGCATGAAGTCTCTGATATTTCTCATCTTTGTTTCTCTCTCTATAATATTTCTTTTCTTTGGCTGTCTTCAAGATTTTCACTGTTTTACTTTTAATTTTTAAATTTTTTTCTATGGTTTGACCATGATGTGGCAGTGTTTGTGTATACTTAAGTTATCTTTCTTGGAGTTCTTTGAGCTTCTTGGTTCACACCTTGCTTGTCTTTTATTAATTTTCAAAAATATTTGGTCATTCTCTCTTAAAACATTTCTTCTGCCCCATTCCCTTTTTAACCTTCTGAGACTGTATAAGGATGTTAGAACATTTTGATTTTGTCCTACATGTCTTGGGATTCAGGTCCTGTTTCTCTTCCCTGTTTCTACTGCATTTTTGCCCCTATTTGTTCTTCAGTTTGGATATCCTCTATTGATTTAGCTTAAAAAAATCACTATTTTATTGTTGTTATTATTATTGCTATTATTTTTACTGTCCCATTGTGTCAATCGAAGGAAGTCTTTATTTCTGATATCATGTTTTCTATTTCCTACCATTTCCATTTGACTCTGTTTTCTAGTCTCCACCACATAGCTGGACTTGCCTCATTTATTCATGCAAATTATTTACTTTTTCATTAGATCATTAATGTATTGATTAGAGTTATTTTGAGACTGCTCTCTATTAGTTTCAATTTTTGAAACTATTTTGTTCATTCTGGGCCTATTGACTATCTTACCTATTGAAATGTCTTTGGCTCTCTTGCTTGCGTACACGCATGTGAGTACACACATGTGTTTTGTAATTTTTGATTGGATGTGCTTTGTAATTTTGATTGAATGAAGGACCTTAAATGGAGAAGAATAGTCCACACTGACATATGCTCAAAATAGGCATACTTCCGCCTCTGCCGGGTCATTATTGCAGGGTGCTGAGTCAATCTAGTCACTAGGTGGATTGTAGGCTGGTTTTATTGTTGCCACAGTCATATTTAGTACACCACAGACTAGAAATTTCTCCACTGATGGGCTGGTGCAATCATTTTCCTTGTCAAGACTATGGATTCCCAAGGGTTTTTCAGTGTCCCTGTCACATCTTCAACTTTCAGCAACTTCTACACTCCACAGTTCAGGAAGACTACCATTGGCATAAGGCTCAGGGTAAGATTAGAGGGTGATTCTCCACTTTCCTGGCTGAGCCTTAGCCTTAGGAAGACTCTGTACATGTGTACTTTAAAAAGGGATTCCTTAGTGTTTCTGTTCTCTCCACTGGGCAGCCAGAACTTGCAGTGTATCTGTAAGAGTGTCTTTGGTCAGGGAATGTTTCCTGCCTTTCTTCCAGAAGGAGATTTCAAGGCTCCTGTTTGGGGCAGGGAGAAATATATTTTGTTTCTACCTCCTCTATAGAGACAGTGGGTCTTTGCTTCTGTCCTGGATTGAGGTAGGGATTTCCTGTCCCTTCCTCACAGTTTAAGATTTTTCCTTAATATGAGAGAAAGTTCTGGGAAGTAGGGTTTAGTGTATATGTTCCAATGAGAAGAACCTATACAGGTCTTCTCTCTTCCCCCAGTGTTTCTTGCAAGCCCCTAGTACTGGCCTGTGGAAAGAGCTTGCGAGGGCTTGTGGACTCCCTTTGTGTTCAAGGCTCCCAAGGATTTAAAATTCTAATTGTAGCCCACTCTTGGTCTCTAAGAGTTTGTTAACATTTCAGCTTTTCTTTTTGCATTTGCTTTCATGGCATCTGCTTCTCTTTTCCATGCACTGCCAAAGGTAGGACCATTAGTATGTCTTATGTCTCCTAGGAGAGGCTTGTCACCATTCAAAATTCAGTGCACTTAGTCACCTTGTGACATCAACTCCAGAAAATGTAAGACTTATAGATTATCCTATCTTTTTTTCTCATTGTTTGGGTGGGAGCAAAGACCTATTGAAGCTTTCTATATCCTAAATGGAAGCAGAACCCCTAGACAGAGGAAACTGGTAAAATGACTTATCTCAAGCTGTGAAATGGAAGAATGGTAATGACTCACTTGAGAGTCTTGAAGCTGTGCATTTAGAGTGTTTCTGCCTTGTCTTTTCTGTGCCTCTCCAAACTCACCCCCTTCTCTTGCCTTTATTTTTACTATGTCCTCTCTACTTGTGGACGTTCTAATAATGGGAGAGTTTTAGTAGAATTGGTCACCAGACAAATAGATGCTGATAAAGTGTGCATTTTTAATCATTTCTCTATAATTAAAAAAATCAAGCTCTCTACTATAAATTATTCTCAATTGTCTTTTACTTTGGTGGTACCTGCTTTGTTAGCTACTCTAGAGGAATAAATATTTGGCTTGGCTTTTGGGAAGAATAGAGAATTGTCGTAAAACTTATTCCGTAAATATGCTAAGAGAAGTGACAGGTTTGCTTAGCAAACACATGGTAGTTTTCAATGAAGATATTATCCCAGAGAAGAGATGAGTAATGCCATTACACAATAGTTGTTAGATAATTATTTGCAGATAATCCATGTTTCCATCTCTGGAAGACATTATTATGTTCAGAAAAATTTTGGAATATCTGGGACTTACTATTTCTGTAAATTTTGTGGTTTTTGCCCAGTACATTATTTTACGCTGTGATAAAAATTCAAATTAGAATGTGAATGAGTATATGGAGAGGAATTTGGGTTCCCGCATGGGTTGATGCAATAGTTGACTAGACATTCCTGTGTCATTACCTTTGGTGTTCAGTGAGTGTCGCTGTGTCTAGTTGGTTTTCTAGCAGTAAAGTGCTTATTAGAAATTTGAGAGAAGTTGGGGATGGGTTAACGTCTGCAGATAAAGATTTGAATATATGATTTTTAATGTAACAATTTGTATTTCAACATTTCAATGGTAAAAAATTAGTAATTTAAGGGCTCAACATAGACATGCCAATGGTCACCATAACATGGAGAATATGGAGGCCCTCCCACCTCAGAACTTGATGGCCACTTTTCTCAAGCCCCTCTCTCTCTCTCCCCATCTTGTCTCAGCATTATTCCTAAATAGCTTTTCTGCCTTGATTTCCTGTCGTGGGTTGCAACACCCATGTCCACCAGCCCCCAGTCTGGAACTAAGAGGTGTCTTTTCCTCTTAATTACCTCATTCCTCAACAGCCACACCAGCAGCCGATTCTTACTGATTCTCCTTTCTCTTCTTCTTATCTGTGGTCTCTTTCCTCTCCTGTTTGTATTTCAAATCATTGTTCCTTCTCATCTGCAGATAGAATAGCTTTCTGATCAGTCTGCATTCTTTACATCTCAGACTTCTCCAAATCTCCCTCTATCAAATGCCAAAACAAACTTTCAAAACTGTAAACCTGACCATGTTACCATCTTGCCTAATTCTTTGGTATTTCCCCCTTGATTACAAGATGCAGTGCAAATTCCCCATAGTCTCGCCCCTGAGCTATCCTCGGCCTCTTCCCACACAATGGCCCCATCCCTACCTTCTACTCCCAGCGAAGGCCCAGCTAAAGGAACCTGGCTGCTTCACACCTCCATGGCTCTACTCCTGCTGTCCTCTGGACTGCTCTCCCACTGTTCATCTGCTTGTTGAATTCCTGATGTCTTCAGGGACCCGTTCTAACTCTCTTCCTCTGAGAGGCTCTCCCGTCCTTCCCTCCACACGCCTACTCTCAACACTCTACTATAAGCCACCAATGCAATCAGTAAATGCTCACCTTTTTCAAAGGCTTATGATATTTCATTGCATTTGTTGGTTTGACATCCATTGTCTCCTGGAGAGTACAAATCCTTTGCACCCCCACCCTTTTTTAATGTTTATTTTATTTTTGAGAGGAGGGAGGGGCAGAGAGAGGAGACACAGGATCAGAAGCAGGCTCCAGGCTCGGAGCTGTCAGCACAGAGCCCGACACAGAGCTTGAACGCATAAACTGTGAGATCATGACCTGAGCCAAAGTTGGCGCCTAATCAACTGAGCCACCCAGGCACCCCTATCTTTTTACCCTTTTACAGGAGTTGAGGACAAGGCTTGTATCTAATTGCATTTTATATCAGGGACTTGTCACCATACTTCGTGCTCTGTTCCTTCTTTTATGGAATGTTTCTGGGTCATTTCAGTCTTCTGAAGACTGTAGGCTATGCTTGACATGCTCACAAATGCTACTTTTTTCTCTCCAGGACCGAATCCTTCCTCAAAATCATTTCTGCACTTCAGTGGCTTTCAGGATAATTCCACGTGGATGGATCACAAAACCATCTTGACTCTGAACAAACTGAAGTCACTTTCTCTGCCTTTCTCATCCCCTGTCCCTCACATCTTCCCCATGGTTTTGTCTCATGGTTGATGCACTGTCACCACTATTAACTTTCTGGTGTTATCTAGACCTCTCAGGCAGCTTTAATCCCTTCCTTTGAGTCCTTCTCCCCCGAGTCACCGCATCAAGTCCATTCACCTCTGAAATCTCTTATATCGGCCTCTTCCTTGCTCAGGTGATTGAAATAACTTCCTGACAGGTGATCTGGCTTCTGATCCTCCCACTAGTGCAGCCACCTTCCAGCCATCTATTAGTACCATCTACATATAAAGGGGCGCCTGGGTGGCTCAGCTGGTTAAGTGTCAGGCTTTGGCTCAGGTCACGATCTCATGGTTCCTGGGTTCGAGCCCCGCGTCAGGCTCTGTACTGACAGCTAGCTCAGAGCCTGGAGCCTGCTTCAGATTCTGTGTCTCCCTCTCTCTCTCTGACCTTCCCCAGCTCATGCGGTCTCTCTCTCTCTCTCTCTCTCTCTCTCTCAGAAATAAATAAAAAGCATTTAAAAATTTAAGGTATGTACAAAAAGCCCAGACGCCTTCTCCAGGAATACAGGACCCTTTTCAGGTGGCCACATTGGGTTTATTCTCTACTCTGTGCAGCAGACCCAGAGCTTTGGTCTTGCCAGACTCTCTCCTGAGCAGTGTGAGCTGCCCGGACCCCCCATCTGCACTGGCCGTGCCCCTGCTCCTCTTCCTACAACACCTTCCTCTCATTTCTCTGCCTTGAAAACCCTGACTTCGTATTTAATATCCTGTGAAAATATCACCCCTCCCCCATGAAATGATCTCTGACTTCCCCAATAAAGTCCGTGCTTTCCTTCTCTAGGCACCGGGAGCTTGCGTCTACACCTCCGGTGAGAATGTATCACATGGTATTGCAGTTTCTCTTGCTGGCCTAGGAGATGCCTGGGGACCCGGACTGTGTCTTGTTCATGCAGACACTCTCAGTGCCTTGCACAATGCCTGGAATCACAGGTACTCAAATATCAAACCCAAAGGTGAATTGGAAAGATCAAGGACCTGGGGTTGGCACATGCAGGAAGAAAAGGGGGCTGTGGTTAGGAAGAGAAAGTGCAAGAACAGATGAGAGCAGAACTTGCACGGAGGTGTTTACTTTGGTTTTGATCATCCAACCTTGGGAGAAGGGGTGAAGAGAAAACGTGGTCCTTAACGAGTCACCTTTCCCTGTTATTCTTCTTCCTGGGGAAGGAGCCAAAGTATATTTAGAAGGAGTGTAAAGTTCTCAGGTAAAGTTTAAGATTCTAGGACAAATCAAGAAGGTTTTGCCATTGCATGCATTTTTTTTTTCTTTCTGGCACGTGGCTTAACTGTTACACTCTGTGGGTCCTCAAGGACTCCCGCACTTTCCAGATTCTGCACGACAGTCTCAAGTAAGTCTTTGAAATCAGGAAGTCCAGGACAAGATGTCACTTTGCAAGGTGTAAGGGAATCCATCCAGATGCATTCTGTGTAGGCTATTACCTGCCTTGCTAATGACAAGCCCGCTGCGGGCTGATAGACTTCATCCACGGCACCGAAGCGGGTGGGGGAAAGGAGGGAAGCCAAGGTGGGCGGGTTGTGCAGTCGGAAATCAAAGTCAACAGAGAGAGAAAGATCTGAAAAGAATAACATTCGAGCTCCTCATTGCTTTTCCTTTCAGGCTTTATGGCACCTTTGAAGAAACAAAAGCTTTACAGAGAAAAGGCTGGTTTGGCAGAGGAGCCTGCCCCCCCCGCCCCCCCCCCCTCAGCTCACTTTCCTATGTTCCTGGAGTTTTTCTCTGTTGAAACAAATAAAACACTTATAGGTGCTATATTGAGGCTTCATCTCGGCTTCTCTTTCCTCCCTCCTTGCTTCTTTCCCCCTATCGAATAGTTCTGGAAAAAGGCACATTTACAGACGCAATGTACTGTGCTCAGGGCTTGGCAACCCTCCCCTCTCCCTCTCTCTTCCTCTCCCCCTCCCAATCCCTCTCTTCCTTTTTTTCTACCTCTCTTCATCTCTCTTTCCCTCTCTCTCTCTCACTTTCCCCTCTCCCTCCCCCTCCCCATATCTCTCCTCTTCTGTTTCTCTCCCCCTTCACCCCTGCTCCGTTTCCCTCTCTCTCCTTTCTCTCCCCGCCTCTTTCTCTCTCTCCCTCTCAACCCCTGTTTCCCCATCCCTCTCCCCTCCCTGTTTCTCCCTGATGTAATGTCTCTGAGTTTGTCTGGCTCCAGCTGCCTTCCCCTCGAAGCAGAAGGAAAACAGGGGTGGGGGGTCAGTTTGAGGAGACAGTCTTGACATTATTCATAAGACCCCATTTCGTTCCAGGGCTTTGTCGGGCCCACGATGGATAGTGCGGGTCTTCTGTAGATTCTCTCACTCAGAGGATCGGATTTACAGTTTTCTCCTGGCTGTTCTTCATGGTGAGACATTTGAAATCCGCAGGCAGACAGAGCCAACTGGGCAGAAAGTTTGGAATTCTGAAATGCTGCTGAATTAAGTCAGGGACTAGCCTAGCTAATTTGCTGATTTACTCAGCTTGACCCAAATGGATTTCTGTGCAAACGAACTTTATGAAGAAGTCTCTGAATAATTCTATTAAATGAAATGCCAGGCTTTTATTTTCCATTTTATGACATTTTCTGAACACTGTGTATTCCAATCATATTGAAACATTTTGTTTTCAGGCTCTGAAGAAAGTGCTGATGGTTGAACCTCAAAAGAATTGAAGGGTTAGTTCATAAATGAATAAAAAGCCAGCGGCATTTATTCAAAGTTTGTTTAACTATCCTAACCTCATGGGCCTGTAAAAATTCAACTGAAAATCATTGAGAAGAGGTCCTCCCATGGGATCCCTTGGCACTTTCTGCTTCTGCTTGGATCAGAAATACCACGAGCGTCTCTCTCTTTTCTTTCTTCCTTTCTTTTTTTTTTTTTCCATGCAACATTTCAACACTCTTGTTTCCCTTTGCAGAGGGAGAAGAGTAGAGGGGGGAAATGGGAGGAAAAAAAATGGTTGAACTTTCCTTAACCTAGAAGTTCGTGCAGATTTTACATGGAATTTCAAGCCAGACTGCTCCTGGTTGAGGCCAGATGTGTCTGCGTAGGAAACGTACGGGGGTCCCTCCACGGAGGTTCTGATAGCAGATGGCTGTTTCATATCCAGGCTACCTGGCAAGGGGACGTGGGTTCTCATCTCAGCACCCATTAGCCCAGCCTCCCTTCTGGGGCAACAGATGCAGAAACTGGATTATTTATCCAACTAGACCAGAGTTCTTTCATTCATGGAATAGCATATTTCATATCAGTCTTTCAGAGGGAGAGGCTGTGTGTGTGGATGGATTGCAAAAATAGCCACAACCCTCAAATCTATGGAGATGGAAAGTAGATTAGCAGTTGTTGAGGATGAGGGTGGCGGGGAAGTTGAAGGGAAATGAGGAGTGATTGCTAATGGGTATGGGATTTCTTTCTGGGGTTAAGAAAATATTCTAAAATTGATTGTGGTGATGATTGCACCATTCTGTAAATACACCAAAACCATTGAATTGTACCCTTTAAATGGGTGAATTGTACGGTATGTGAATTATATCTCAATAAAGCTGTTATATTGAGAACAATAACCACAATCCTTCACTTGTCTCTGGATTGATGCCCTTTGTAACGTGACTCTGCACCTCTTGCCACCAAGAGATGGAGTCCGCTTTCCCATCTGTTGACTCTGGGCTACCTCATGAGGCTGGTTAGCCCACAGAACATGGCGGAAGCAATGGCATGCCAGTTCTGAGCTTTACTTCTACAAAGTTGTTGCAGGCTTTTGCTCACTCCCTTACTCTGCTGTCTTCACCATGAAGGCTTCACAGGCCAGCCCCCTGGAAGGTGAGGGACCTGTGAGACAGAGCAGCCTCATCCCAGTTGAGGCCACCAGAGGCAGCTGGCAGGAGAGCATGCCCAGCTGAGTTAGCCAAGCCCGTCCACAGCAGCTGGGCCGCTCGCTGAGCTGCAGACTCTCGGGCATAAACATTGCTGTTGCTTTATGACAGGCATCGGGACAGTGCCTGACTGATATATGCGGCAGCCTCTCTGAGGTTCGAGAAGTATGGGGAGGGAGAATGTGCACATTTGCCCTGGTTACCCAGTAGGCCCATAATTTCACTCAGATTTACAAGGCCCTGACCAGGGCTTGCATTTTCTCCTGCTAAATCTCCTTGAAAGGGTAATGAAACTCATCCTTGATTAGGTAAGTGCTGGTGATCATTAGACGTTTGCTCTCAGATGGCATGAGTGTTGCCACTTACCTTCAGGAGCTTCTGGAGAGGAAAGTGCAGGGCTGGCTGCTGTCCGTGGCCTCGTCTGTTAACCTAAGAAGGGCTGGGAGGCAGCTCAATCACATTAGTGGGGACAAGTGTCATTTGTCACACACAGGTCACACCTACAGCATCCTGATGTGTCTGGCATGGCCAGCTCTTAGAGACAGGGGAGAAATTGGCTTGAAGAGACATAAGAAAGGTCTGTGACCCTCACATAAGACATGCTTTGTGAAAATCCCCTCTCCATTTTTTTTTAAAAGAACATTTATTTATTTTTCAGAGACAGAGCATCAGCAGGGGAGGGGCAGAGAAAGGGAGACACAGAATCTGAAACAGGCTCCAGGCTCTGAGCTGTCAGCACAGAGCCCGATGTGGGGCTCGAACTCACAAACTGTGAGATCATGACCTGAGCTCAAGTCAGACACTCAACCGATTGAGCTGCCCAAGTGCCCCAAATCCCCTCTCCATTAAGTGCCACCACGTGGCTGGGGAGGTGGAGGCAGAGCCCGTGTGCTGCAGGGGTGAGGGCATGATAGAAACAGAGGGAGAGGTCAGGGAGGGCTTCACGTGGGAGGCACACTTCTTAGGAGCTGAATGATGTTAAGGTTTTAAGTTTTGTGAGGACTAAGGTGGACACGACTGGAGCCACGTTCTAGAGACAGATAAGAATGGAGCGCACACCAGTGCAGGAAACGCCTCGCGCCCACGCTGCCCAGCTTAACCTTCTGCACTGACGGTGTGGCTACAGAGGCAGACATAAGAGACTCATAAGTACAGAGAACAGACTGAGAGTTTATGGAGGAGTGTTGGGAGAGGAGTGGTTTAACTGGGTGACGGGCACTGAGGAGGGCACTTGTTGGGATGAGCACTGGGTGTCGTATGTAAGAGATGAGTCACTGGGTTCTACTCCTGAAGCCGAGACTACACTGTTGGCTAACTAACTCGAATTTAAATAAGAAAAAAATAAACCAAATAAAATCTTGTTTCAGTAAGATAAAAAAAAAAAACAAAGAAAGGTGGCTGGTTTGACTGAGGAATCAAATTTTAAATTTCATTTACTTTTAACTACTTTCAATTTAAGTTTAAAGAATCACATAGGACCACTGGCTAGTATACGGGACAGTACCGCTCTCTGTAAGGTATAGATGCATATCTTTAAATTTTTGTTTTCTATTTTCTGCTATAACAAATACTGCCGAGACGGTTCAGAGAAACATTGGGCTGTGATTTAGTCATATCTAACTTCCGTGCTCCCAACCGCCTGAACTTCCGTCTGTAAGAGATAAGCCTCCTCCTGGTCAGCGGGAGCCAGTGCTCACATGTTCAACATATATATGTGTTTATTCAACGCCCACTGTGTTAGACGGTCTCCTGCTTGGCGAAACACATTGAAAACAACAGAAAATAGACATGCAGTTTCTTTGAGCGTCTCTGTTTAAAAGTTGTGAAGATGAAATGTACATGGCTTTGACAGCATTTCGGAGTAAAAATACTTAAATTAGAAACTACAGGTTTACAAGAAACAGTGAATCATGTGCATTTGGAGAAGGCTTTTCTTCATTTTAGAGGCTGGCAAGTCTGATTTTTATTGTCATTGAAGATGATGTAATTGTGTCTTAATAAGCAAAATTATTAAAGGGTTTATGAGCTTTCATTTGTGAAACCCAGGGAGAAAAGGTCAACAAGGATTCCCCCCTTACAAATCTCTAAAGAATTTGAATTTAAAATGAATCTCATCTGACAAGGAAAAATGTAAAATCAGAAAGACAGAAACCAACCAAAAAAGAAAAAAGAAAGAAAAAAAACCCTTAATTTATGTTGACTTCATTATTCTCTAGATTAAAAGCAACTCAACATAAAATGAGGACTTTGAGTTCAAACTTTTAAGGAATTCACATATTTGCATCAATTTTTAAAAGGTTTTACGACTAATGAACTTGGATTTCTTTTGGCATGGCATAAAATCCATTTGTACAGTTTTTAATTAAAAATTCAGCCTATGCAATTAAAATTAAGGGTAGGGACTTCATCTCATGTCCTGTGAGGACTCCAGTCGAAAAAATTATGGTAATGCTGTGTGTCCTAAAAGCCTTCTCTGAGTGCCACGAACACTTGGTGAGGAATTACCCCTTCTGCATGATGAGGATTTGTTTAAAGTTGATAATTAGGAACATTTAATTTTGATGTGTTAGGGCCTTGTTTACCACTAATCTCTCTGGCATTTGCTGTGGGCTTGGGACCCAGCACTAAGGATCATCTAAAATTGAGCTCAGAAAGTATAGACTGGGTCAAACTCACAATCCATAATGCAAATACTGCAATTTTTACAGAGGCAAGGGAATTCCTAATGTGGGTTTTAATATTTAAAGTTACCAGTGCCATTATTGAGAATATTAAGATGCTTTCATGTCGAACTGATTAAAATTACATTTAGAATAATGAATGACATGTAATGTACAAATACCCACTCACTTC